AAAACCTAAACGTTCGTTGTTTATAGTAGCTGTTGTGGAGCTAGATTTGGCATAATTCTAGGGATTCTAAAGTTTAACCAATACAGTATCACTAGAAATAATCTAGTAATTCCTAGCCAAATGACCATAAAGACAACATTATAACATAGAGCAATGAAATCTTGAGAAAGTAACTTCATCGTTACAATATCAGAGAATTTGGCAGATTTACAAATATCTAAAGTTAGCAGATTATAATGGACACGAGTAACAATAGTTGATCTTATACACAACTTTAATTATTCCACATCAGAGTGGTCTCTAATGCCATAAGGATGATATCTACCATCATCCACATGCCATTATGTACGCAGTTTACGTGACTAAGTAAAGAGTGTTAGCTTGAATCAATCTTAAGCCATGTTTTAGTAATAACCACATCACACTTACTAGAAAGAAGAGCTAGGTGAAAGTTCCTTTTTTTGAATTGAAGTTACCAGTATTTTGATGATAGGACAAAGCACTTATAGGCACTTTCTCTCTTCTTCTGTGGCACTAGAGCCCTTGTTGGGTCTTGGTGTTACTCAATTTCCGCCTTCCTTTCCTTGTTAAGGGTAAAATTTGCTACAACAAATTTTCATATTATGGAATATTTCTCTGTATTTATGTATCTGAGAGGAATAGTGTTACAGAGCAATGTGTTAAGGGTAAAATTTGCTACAACTTCTGTTGTATAAGCTTTTCTATAACATGCTCGGAATACCGATTTTTTCCATTAGCAACTTCTGAAACTAGGAATTCTTCTAATTTTCATATTATCGAATATTACTCTACATTGATGTATCTGATGGGAAAAGTGTTATATAGAGCAATGTGTTAAGGGTATAATTTTCTACAACTTTTGTTCTAAAAGTTTTTCTGTGGCATGCGCGGAATACCATTTTTTTCCATTCTCTTCTAGTTACTTACTTACATTAGCCGTTTAACGTCTACTGCCTTTTCCCACTTTTTCTTCAACCCAACCCAACCCATCCTTATTACATGCCCTGTCTACTGCAGTCTCTGTATTTTCACGAACATTAATTTCTCTGATCTTGCTTTATTGTTGCTGTTTTGGAGTATTATCACAATACTATTTTTTTTTCAAATATATAGATGTCAATAATTTACTAGTATATTTGTCGTTTAAAGCAATCGTCAAAAACCTGAGACCACCTTGTTTTTGGTTTTTCAGTAAAAGATTCTCCCAACCTAAACTCAGCAGTTTACATGATTAAGGAAAGAGTGTTCGTTTCAATCAGAACCAGCCTCTTAAGCCATGTTTTAGAAATAACCACATCACACTTACCAGAAAAAAGGGGCAACCAACCTAAATCTAGAAATATTGTTCAAAACGAAAAAACACATCTTTTTCATCTTTCTCTGATCTTCATATTTCGTGGCGAAAAAACTTTCTCTCTTCTTCTGTGGCACTATACCCCTTGTTGGCTGTTGGCCTCTTTCAATTTCCGCCTTCCTTTCCTTATTATGCTCAGAATACCGATTTTTCCAATTCTTCTAATTTTCATATTATCGAATATTTTTCTAGATTAATGCATCTGACAGGAAAAGTGTTAGAGATCAATATGTTAAGGGTAAGATTTGCTACAACTTCTGTTGTAAAAGTTTTTCTGTATGATGCTCGGAATACCGATTTTTTCCAATTCTTCTAATTTTCATATTATCGAATATTTCTCTATATTTATGCATCTGAGAGGAATAGTGTTACAGAGCAATGTGTTAAGGGTAAAATTTGCTGCAACTTTTGCTGTATAAGTTGTTCTATAACATGCTCGGAATACCGATTTTTTCCATTAATAAATTGTGAAACTACGAATTCTTCTAATTTTCATATTATCGAATATTACTGTACATTGATGCATCCAATGGGAAAAATGTTATACAGAGCAATGTGTTAAGGGTAAAATCTTAAAAGTTTTTCTATAACATGCTCGGAATACCAATTTTTTCCATTCTTTTCTAGTTACTCACTTACATTAGCCGTTTAACGTCTACTGCCTCCTCCCACCTTTTCCTTTTCTGTTCTTCTTAGTAAACAATCTTCAACCCAACCCAACCCATTCTTATTACATGCCCTGTCCACTGCAGTCTCTGTATTTTCACGAACATTAATTTTTCTGTTCTTGCTTTATTGTTGCTGTTTTGGAGTATTATCACAATACAATATTTTTCTCAAATATGTAGATGTCAATAATTTAGTAGTATCTTTGTCGTTTAAATCTGAGACCACCTTGTTCCTGATTTCTCAGTAAAAGATTTTCCCAACCTAAACTTCCCTTTGAATCACCAAAGTCTTAGGAGTTTTTTAAGAGTTGAAAGTGTATCATTCAAGGCCACATCTCCTTCCTCTGACAAGCTAGAGACGATAACATTTCAAGATCTGAAATCAATAACATTTTGCTTGATAATGTCATCAACAATATCATCGTGATGCGGTGTTACGTCACTCTGTATGGTGATACACTTCTAAATTTCCCTTCTACTCTAGCAGCCTAAAATAGGAATTGTTCATTTTATCAACTTCGCCAATAGCACAGCTTCATATAGCTCCAGACGTAGCAAAGAATCTTTCGTGATACACTTGACTTATTTCACTTTCGTATTGACTATTGGGGCAAATAACACAATGAGCCAAGAATCCAACAATGCTCTTTGGGTCTAATGATGGCTTGTTTAATGATTTAGTATGCCTAGTATGACTACGACTTTACTACGACTTACTACGACTTTAGTATGACTAATCTCTTTCCTTGGCTAACTGCACTACCAAGAATCTTCTTGTTCTTCCATTCGAGATCGAATGATATTAACACCTCATAGAAAACCGTTATCTGAGCACGCTAATATAACCGAATACCTTGTCCATTACCCTTTGCATGTTGCTCAATCTACGATATAAAAGACGCCCCATGAAAAGACGACGATAACATCGTTTGATGAGTTATCAATGCTCATGAACACACAAGTACAAGTATTAGATCATTGTTGTCGATTCGTGAGAGATAAATGAGTTGGATTTGTTTTGAGTTGAACTCTACTCATATCGATTTCTTCACCATTGAGGAAGAGTTGTGCGATTTCCATGTAAAGCTCTCAATCATAAGAATTATGTATGTGTTAATATCCGAATAACGAGGAGTCTTCCTGATATAGAAACTTAATCTAATAACAAAACGGTCTTAGAGAAGATAGGAAATATAAGCAAAAACGACTTATAAGAAGTTGCTGATTATTAATGTCGGATTATCTCGGAGATATCAAGGATTTTGAACCAAATTTAATCAGTTTCAACTCACCAAAACTATTTTATTTATGTTATTTATGATATATAAGATTAAGAATAATCGATAATTAATCATTAAAGCTTAATGAATAATCAAAAGTGACTTAAAGAATTATTTAACAAATAATTTAAAACGTTTTATTATTACAATCGGTGAGTGTTACATCAAGGTTAAGTTGTTTTCCGCACATTCATTAGACTTGTTAGCGATTAGACTATCTACCTGCATTGTCTTGGTAGACTAACCCGAGTTATATTTTTTTTATTTAAGACACAACAATTCCTTTCATTCACCTAAGTAGAACAGTTACGGTAGACCTTGTAGATTAGTGAGGCCGACGTAGAATTTGGGCGTGTATCAGCCATTTACATTTGATCCAGCCTAATAATTATCCGGTACAATTGAAGCAAACCAACAAAAACTACCGTTACGCGTAATTTTTCGGTCTTATTCCATCGTTTTATCCGCCTTTCTTCAAGCATTCACCGAAGTCATCGATTTTAATTAGAGATTCTAGATTTTCTACGTAAAGGTGGCATTCAAGGACGATTTAAACACGACGTCCTCCGAAAGTAACAAGAGAAAATGAGAGTGAGAAAAAAAAATTAAAAGTGTACTCCTGAAGCACAAGGCCAATGTCAATTCGCACGGTTGGTGCGGTCTTTTGAGTCCGTCTTGGTCGGTTTGCATTGTTCTAATTGCTATGGGAGGAAAAGGCAACATCCTCTTCGATGAGTTCATTAGGTTTTCAATGCGCGTAGCGGAATAATTAATTTGAGTTAAAAAGAGAAGTATGAAGAGTTATTACTTCCTTTGGGCAAATCGAGAGGTAAATTCATTGGATAAGGTAACTACGACGATGCTAATGAAAGATAAAAACAGGTTAAAACGTTTTGACATTGAATCCGAAGAAGGAGAAATAAAGGTGGAGTTATTGAGTCATATTAAAATTAAAATTATGAGTTATAACGGAAAAAATGATTTTTTGTTGTGTTTATGGTTTATTTAGAGTTTGAGAAACGAACAATTTCATGTTGTTGGACCACGCGTGCGAACGCATTTTGTCCTAGTTGGAGCTAATATAAAGCAGATTATCCTCGTTTCGCGGTTCAGGATGAACTCATACATAATGTAGCTCACGTTTACTCACGGCACACGTAACTCCGTAATTACACAGTCTATTAATTATACGGATCGGGATTACATAAATATGGGTGTAAGGCGTGAACCGTTTGTTCGTTTCCAATAATGGTATTGTTTACTGGGAAAATATGATTATCATTTTAATGGGTTAATTCTACAAAAAAATTGATTTAAAAACATTCTTTTCTTATTGAATGTGATTGGAATTAAAAATGATATTTATTTTAAAACTTGTCACGAAAACTTTCGATTGAAATTTAAATCTTTTTGTTAACCTTTCCAAAATATTAAGTATTTATTATAAAATGGGTTGGAAGAAAATAGTATTTGGGATAATTTGAGGATTAATCATTACGTGTAATTAAATTGTAATTATTTTAAGTTAATTTAACTTTAATTATAAATGAATTGAATTCAAAGGTTTTCAATTTAACGATTATTTCAACCTCAAATACGTAAGTAACACTAAATTATTTTATAATCACCTCATCCATTAAAATTTTATTAAAGAATCGAAAAATCACTTTGACATACCGGAAAGCGAAGATCCTCCTTCTTACTTCCGCTTGTCTCGTTCCTTTTCGGTTGCAAAAAAGTTCGTGCAAAGCACGATATCTTGTAGTGTCACTTTTTACTATTATGTTTTGACCGCGAACCAAAAAAGTTTTCAGTTTTCAGGTTTCACTCGATGTCTTGGGAGATGAATAGAACGGAGGCGCCTGGTGCAGCGACGTTCCGGTTCGAACGAGTTTGGGATGGCGCGCGCGGCGGCACTGGCTACGATGTTGGTATAACTTGCGATAGTCGCGGTAGTCGCCGAAGCACTGAATCGCGCGCCACTCGATCCGCGAGTACTTTCTAATAGCACCTTCGCTCGCGCCCGCTGCCGTCACACCGCACCGTCGCCGTACCTCTTTCGCGAAAGAAATCGCAAATCGAAGAGAGAGGTCATTTTTTAAACTAAAACTAGAAATAACATTATCACTAGAACTAGAACTAACACTAAACCTAGAAACTTTCCGGATAAGCCATGCGTTTTTTGAAAAAATGTTTAACGTTACGGATACCATGTTGAAACCTTCTTCAGAAACAAGTCCGAAGTGTTTCTGAAGAAGGTTGCAACATGACATCCGAAACGTTAAACATTTTTTCAAAAAACGCACGGTTTAACCCGAAAGTTTCCAGCTCTAGCTCTAGTGTTAGTTCTAGTGATAGTGCTAGTGTTAGTTCTAGTTTTAGTTTAATTAACACCGGCCCACAGAAGCGAATTAGTTAAAAATCTTGGCCAAAAAGATATTTTTGTCAATTTTTTTACTTCAAAATTGGTGGAAATTAAAAAATATCTAGGGTAACGCCAGTAATTGACCGTTGGTCAATGTTTGACCGTTTTTGAAAAAAAATGTAGAAAATAAGGATCCAAGGAATATCTAAAAAAATATAAATATATCCATAAATAGCCACCAGTCTCCTCTCCACTCCCTAGTACAGGGTGTCCCAATTTCGATGTCCGCATAGGCTATCTCCGAAACTAAAAGAGATAGAAAAAAGGTAGCTTACATGTCATGATCTCGTTTTTTGAGAAAATGCTAATACCGAAAACTCCGAACAGCTATCGTCTTTTGTTTTCGCCCTATCGGCAAAAACTGAAAATTTTGCGAAAACGATATTCGCGAATATCTCACTTATTATCAAAGATGGAGTATTATAAATAAAACATTATATGGGCAACTTTTTACGAAGAATTCANAATTTTATTAATTTAGGATATAAAAGCAAAATGCAGATTTTTAAATCATAAGATTAACAAAACATTTTCGATCTAAACTAAATTAACATAAAGCTTATTCAATGATACCACCACCAACACTAACACATAATTCAGCCCTTTTCTGACATTGTTTATAACTTTTTCTAATACGGTCCAACGGAATTTCTCTAATAACTGTTTCACTTTTTGTTTTACATAACCCCAAAAATAAAAATCCATAATAGATAAATCCGGACTTCTTGGCGGCCATGGTTGCGGACCATATTATCTAACAATCCATTTTTTTCTACCAAATAACGTATTTAAATAATTTCTAATTAAAATGGTGGAATGTGGGCCGCAACCATCTTGTTGGAAATATAATTTATTGCGTTTTTCTAAATCCACGCCGTGAAGATAATTAAACAAACAGTTTTCAAGTATTTCCAAATATCACAAAACAGCACACCACACATTCACTTTCTGGGAATACTTGTGTTTACAAGCTATGCGATAACGTGGATTAGTCTTTGACCAGAATCGACAATTTTGTGATGTAACCACACCATTAGTGGTGAACGATGCTTCGTCCAAAAATATTATGTTTCTTAAAAAAGTTCTGTCTTTCAAAATTTTGTACCCAAGCCACAAACAATAATCTAAACGTTTTGCTTCATCACCTAATTCAATAGTATGGTTAAATTTTGGTTTATACGGCAATATTTTATTTTCTCGATAAATTCTTTGTAAATGGGATTTGCTTATACCGACTTGAACAGCCCTTTTTCTTAACGACATCTTACCGTAATCCATTGCGTTCGTTACTGCAACAATCGACCCCGCATCATGTTCATCTAAAAGTTTTTTTCCTTCCTTTTATTTTCCACATTGTCCGTTTCCGAAAATTTTTTAACAACTCTCTTAATTGTTTTTTTATCTACTAAAAATCCAAATTTTTCCTCAAATTGCCTTAAAACTGCATTGAAACTAATGTTCCCCAATCCATAGCACTGCACTATAAATATTTTATGTTGTAATGTAAACATGATCAATTAATATTTGACAATAGGCTAAAGCTAAGCTATCAAATGATAATTGTTAGTTCACTCAGATCATTTGTTTTTATTGTAAAACGGAATATTAGAAAAAAATTTTCANAATTCTTCGTAAAAAGTTGCCCATATAATGTTTTATTTATAATACTCCATCTTTGATAATAAGTGAGATATTCGCGATTGTCGTTTTCGCAAAATTTTCAGTTTTTGCCGATAGGGCGAAAACAAAAGACGATAGCTGTTCGGAGTTTTCGGCATTAGCATTTTCTCGAAAAACGAGATCATGACATGTAAGCTACTTTTTTTCTATCTCTTTTAGTTTCGGAGATGGTCTATGCGGACATCGAAATTGGGACACCCTGTACACAAAAAGTCCACGGCCATACCGTTCTTGAGTTTTTGTTGTTTAATTTCGCGCTAACTGCCGGCCTATTCGCATCGTCCTAAAAAGCGTAATTTTTATGTTTAGAAATTCGCCCAAACAGGGTAGTACTATTCAGCCGTTTTTACATGTATGATGTTTTTTTTTGTTTACCAGTGATCTAATAATGTTTTCTATTGGTTATAATAAAAAAAATACCGCTTTAATTAATTGTTTGTTGAAACAAAGCCGGTCAATGACTGGTAGTTCTAAATTTAATTAAAAATTAGTGTTTGACCAATCGGTCAAATACTAGACGAATTGGTTGTTTTATAATCTCACAAGGATTTATATTTGATTAATAAAATGGAAAAATGTGTAATACCTGTTTTTAAAACTTATATCTTCCCGTTTAAGTTGTTTAGTATTTGACCAAAACTTTTATACTTTAAAAGTGAGATACAATCAGTTTAAATATGCGGTCAATTACTGGTTCCTCTTTTGGTCATTTATAGGACACAAACACTCAAAACTGAGTTTTTTAACCGATTTTAAATTTTATAAATATTTAAACGTAATATAATACGTTGAATATAATATAAGTGTAAATGTTTGATTCTTTTCTATTTTTTTAAACCTTTCTTATAACAATAAAAGTAATTGACCGTACTTAAGCAGTAATGAGTCTATAAAATTACAAGGATAAAAGGTTGGTGAAACGCTGACTCTCATAGTGGTCAATTATAAAAAATGGAAAATCTATATGGAAAATTTAACAAATATGAATCAGGTTAACATTTCTTCAATACCAATATGACAACTAAGCCTAAGATTAAAAATAGTGAAGAAGATCTTCAAAAGACTCTCGATGTAAGAAGTAGGGGTTTATCTTATGAAAAAGCAGCCAAGATGTTTAATGTACCAAAGTCAACTCTTATTTATAAAGAAAAAGGAAAAACACCAGTGCAGAGGAAAATGGGCCCACCAGCATTTTTAAATTCTGATGAAGAAAAACTGCTGGTTGAATGGTTGTTTCATT